TTTACTAACAGAGCTGCAGGTGAATAAAAGTGGTGTGGCTCCAACATAATGAAGACTTACTCTGTTAGTATTCTACTCGCACTATCTCTAACCTAATTGCCATTTGTTACTGTGGCTGGTGGTTTGTACACTGAGTCTTTTTAATTAAACATTGTATATGCATCATTAGCAAAACTTTCAGAATTTTAAAATTAATTTTGGATTGCATCTTGTTCACATTTATTATTCATTAAAGCACATAAAGGATCTCAAAAACTTTCTTTATATGTATTCCCTAAACATATATAAACACATTAGCATAGGAAAGGAATGTGTAAATACACATAATATAATTAGCACTTTCACTAATGTGTGGTTGTACCTTTCATACCTTATAACTGCCACTAGAAAACAAAGTGTAATTAGAATCTGTCAGAACTAACAATATTACAAATCCTAATTGTATGTTATTGATAAAGTTTAACACTATAAACATATTAATATATTAATTTCGACAGTTTTTTGCAACTTCACTTGAGTCTAAGAATAAGCTAGGTTATTTTCAGTAGTTAATTTTTAATCAGCTCCATGTTTTCACCAATTAGGCCAATTATTCTCAGTTAGCAGAAAACAGCATTAACGAAAATATTTATTAATAATAATGTTTGTAAAGATCTATTTCTTAACAAAATATAGGCACTAGGCATAAATTAACCCAAAGAGTTTCCATGTATGCAAATTACTTATCTCCATGGTTACATGAGCTAATAGACTGATGTTTCATACAATGTATATGCACCAGAACATTAATTTATTATTGAAAAAAGCAGTAAATATGTGTCTTTATGACCAAACATGTGCTATTGTTGGATGCTGGCAGCACAACCTGTTGTCACACCTGAGAAACACCAGAGATTCAGAGGCATCTGAGAAGCCCCCTTGAGTGATGGGTGCAGCACCTGCTGGGCATCCAGAGGCACAAATTCCCCAAAGTGGCCCCTCCAAATCTCCAGTGCTACAACTCATCCTCCTCAAATTGCATTTCAAATTCTTCCATTGAACACTTCTTTGCACACAACACATTGAGGATATTTTCACTTTTCTACATGAAGTGTGCAGGCCTGTTTATCTGTTCATGTTTAAGATTTTCCTAAAAAAATTGTGACTTACCCTTGCCATGTGGTTTCTTGGAGAGGAAATCCCAGACCCTGCCATTCCCATCACCGTGTTAATGAAGAATGTTAGAATAAGTGTTCTGAACTTGGAATCAATAGAAATGGTTGTGTGCAGTTTCACAGTCAGTGATTTAAGAGTATTTTAAGTTTACAGGATGACAGAAATATCAGTAAGGTCTAAAGGAATGAAATCTCTACCACCTCCCAGGGTAGTTAAGTGTCAGGATTTTGACAGTAGCTAGGTAGCTGCCAGCTTCTCCAAAATCACCTTATGCACTTTGTATTTCTGAGAATGCCCTCCTATTACTGTCTTTAGGCTTCACAATGGTCCCAATTGCCCCAGCAATGTATTCAAAAACAAAATCCGAGCATTTATTTGCAAAATAAAGGATTTTTATTTGACTTCTCTCAAAATTTCCCCTGGAAATTTAATATTAATTAAAATCTGCTGAGCCATATGGTGACTTTTCTTTTTCTTAACAAACATTATGACTTTCATATTCTCTACCATGATTTTTTCCATTTTTGCCATAACAAACAACAAAGCTTAGAGAGATCATAGCACACAGACATCATTGGTTCAAATATTAATGCAGCCACAGAGACAGACCAAAAGGGAACACAAAAGAAAAAATGTTTTCAAAGCATTTCAAGCAAGTGAACCTTGTGCGATTATCTATGCCCTGCAACAAAACAGATTTTCACACTCATAAACAGAGCAGAGTGAGAGAAGATTGTGGATCCTGGCACTCACCTGTTTCTAAGCTGTAAAGAACTTGCCTTTATATGCATGGTACACAATTACACATTAATGCTTTCTGTGCAACCCAGCACTGCCTTTTTTAAGTTGCAGGATAACTGAGCTATAAGGATCATACACCGATTGCAGGTTAGGACTAGATGGAGAGAGAAACAACCTCACTGAAGCTTCTTCTTGTGAAGAGCAAGAGCAGAGGCAGAGTTTACAACTGTGGAAGCAGAGCACTTGTGAATGTGCCTGGGGCTGAACCACATTTGAGGAGCAGTTCCTGAAGCAGGAGGAGCCCCTGGCAGCCCCTCTGTCCCTGCACAGCTCTCCCTCCATCTCTGCTCTGCACCGACTGCTGCCCTGCCAGCTTCCTCCCTGACCACTGCCAAGAGATTTAGCCCTGCTGAGGAAAAAGGCAAAAGCTGGATCTATCTGGCTTTACTGGATCGCTCAAATCCTGCCAAAATGTGACATCAACATGCCATTGCATCAACAAATTGTGCAACAAATTGTGCTTCAGATGCATTAGGAAAAATGCCTGTAACACACTACGCTGTTAATCTCTAGCATTTGGATCTTGACAAATTCTACCAATGTTTGTCCTGCACTCACAAATAACACAGCATGAATAACCATTGCTAAATTAACAACTCTTCTACTATAAGTGTGATTTTCATACCCTGTAGAAAAAATTTAAGTTACAATGCAAATACTTAGATTTAGAGAAAGGAGATATTGCTACGCACTGGCATTGACAAATTTCCCGCAGTTTTACCCCTGAGAAAAACACAGGAGCCTCAGACTTAAAGCAACAATAACAATAAAAAAAAACAGTAAGGAAAAGATATTTTCAAGTGCCTTAGAAACATTCAGCTACTCTAGAAAACCTGCACACTGACACAGGAATGGACACTGGATCTACTGTAGTCAGAGTGAAAAATTGCACCTTTGAGATTACTAAAAGCTTAAGAGTCTAATAAATCTCAACAAACAGCAAAGACATCAGGGCTCCAAGTTTAAATAGGGCTTGGTTGTTTTCATCTGGATCTGAACTTATAAATTGAGCACAAAAGCAGCCAAATATTTACATCTGGAAAATCTGTTCTCCATATCATGTATTTTAAATGAAACCATGCTAATTCAAATCTGATATTTTCACCTAAGTGCAGTCACCCTTTGTGAAATTTTACAGTAATATATGTCTAACACGTATGGACAATCCCAAAGATGTATTTTAAGCTCATCAGCTCCTAATTGAGGTTTTCAAAGCAGCTTAAGGGATTTAGACAAAAAAAAATATTCATTTCTTCTTTCCTTTTGTCACCAATACATGGCTAAACTCCTTGGCTGCTCTGAAAATCTCAGTGAGCTGGGTACGTATTCACTGGATGTAAGAGAACTGTCACTTTTGCTATTTATCTAAAAGATAAAACTCTTAAGCCTAAGTGAAAAAAATAATTGGATAGATTTTGCTTATGCCATCACTGAAGACTTTATGAACTCATGTTCTGCAAAACCCCATTTTTTTAGCTGAATGGGAACACTTCAAAAAGGCTTTTTTAGTCAGCTGAAATGAGAGCTGTGATGATACAAATGTGCTGCTTTCAGGAATAAGAAATCTATTTTGCATTGCTCTAGTGCAGGAGCACATTTAATGTTGGATTGCTCTGGTCTATCAAAAGCATCATAAAGTTTTGTGTAGTTTAATAGTGAAACTTGAGAGCTCAGAGCCAAGAAATTACACAATCTAGCAAATTCCAGGCGCTGGAGGGTTTCTGTGCTACTGAATATAGACACACTGGGTAGGACAGAAATTTACGATGAAATTGAAGCAGCTGCTCCTTTTAGCAGATGGGGAGTTTCGGGTTTGAGGTGGCGAAGTAGAGAAAAAAGCTGGATCCAAGATGATGCAGGTGTCTCCTTCAGGATTTAGCCAGGCCTGTTGTGCCAGTTTACAAGGTCAGAATTTTGCACGTACGGGCCGGTGCCAGATTTTTGCCTATATAACAAGCGTCTTTGGCAAGCGTTGAAAAACGCTACTAAGCGCTACTACCACGCCAGAACAGGAGTCTCCTGACATTTTCTGGGAATCACAAGAGATCACGTTCGCTCTTCATACGCAGAGCAGAAGGTAGGGCCCGGTCCTTTTGCTGAAACCCGGTTAATTGCGGCCGGGAGCGCGGCGCTGCCGCTCCCGCTCCGCGGGCAGCGACCGCTCCCGGGATGCGCCCGCGCCGGAGCCGCTCCCTGCGCGCCCCCTCCGCTTCCACACGGGGAGCGAAAGTCGCGACCACATCCAGGTTTTGCCGGCTCCTGCCTCCGGGACGCTCCGATTTTTGCTGTTATGCTTAGCAGGTTTTTTGTGTTTTTTTGGTTTTTTTTCGCGTTGTTTTGTATTTTTTTTTCTTTTAATGACTGCAGCGGGAGCCGCCAGCCCTGGCGGGGTGGCGGGGCCGGGGCAGCGCGGCTGCAGCGGGACCCGCCCGGTGGCCGCGGGGCTCCGCGCGTTCCCTGGATGCTGCGCGCTCCCCCTGCGGAGGGAGAGAGGGAGGGAAGAAGGGAGGAGAGAAGGAAGGAGGAGGAGGGAAGGGGGGCGGGAAGGAGGCCGGGGCTGCCGGCGGGAGGCGGGGGAGGGCGGCCGGGGCCGGGGCCGCCAGGCCGGGGCGGCTGCAGCGGGACGAGGCGCGGCGCGGGCGGGCGGGCGAGGCCCGGCAGCAGCGGCGGCCCCGCTCCGCCCCGCGGCTCTCCCCGCCCGGCCGCCCGCAGCCCTGCCCGGGTCCGCCCGCCTGCCCAGCGCCCCCGAGCACTGCCCTGGGCAGCGCCGGCACCGCCTCACGGGGGGAAGCGCAGGCAGCGAGGCGAGAGGAGGGCGCCGAACAGCTCTGGCTTACTGAAACCAGTACAGGAGCTGCCAGGACAAATTTTGCTCTTTAGCCAAAAATAGCTCGTTCAGGGTTAGGCTTTTTTTTTTTTTTTCCTTTTTGCTTTTTTTTTTTCCCTTTTTTTTTTTTTTTTCCCTTTCTTATAGTGGAGCGGCCGGAGCAGTGCCCCCCGCGCAGCGCCGGCCTGAGGGCAGCCGGGCGGCCGGGCAGGATGTACCAGGGACACATGCAGGTAAGCAGCCGCGCTCGGGCAGCTCCGGGCGGGCTCCGGGAAACGCGGCGCCGGGAAGTTTCGGTGGGCTGAGCGGAGGGGAGATGCCACCCTGGCACTGTGCAACAAGTGACCTGGTGCGGTGTGACCGTGGCGCTCCGGCTCGGGGCCGAAGGGAGCGGCGTGCCCGGGGCTGGCGCTGCTCGGCGGGGGAGGATGGCAGAGGGGTTCTGTCAACTTTGTTACTAGGTGAAGTTCTCCGTGTATTTTTCCGTGTGCGATGCCTGCTTGTTCAAACAGATTCAAGGGAGTATTCCAGGGCAAACATTGTTATGGCATGCTTTAAGTGACACATGTCTCCTGCCATCCTCTTGATGCATCTCTTCCTGTATGTCAAGTGAAGGGCAAACAATAAGGGAAAAGACAGAGCACTTGCTTTGCAAAATCTGCAAAGGTTTCACAACACACTCAAACTGTCGATTTGCTCAGTGTGTTGTGTTTAAAGGGGATGGATTTCTATTCCTCCCTCCCCACACGGGATGAGGATTAATTTTGCTAAGCCACGGAATGACTTTGTAGAATGAATTCAAACACCTGGCAAAGAGACCTCAACATTTTAGGCAGAAATCTTGTCTGATGATCCTACTGATCTGTTGCCTTGGCAGAATACAGCCCTCCCTGATAAAAACATTCCACTGCCTTGGACCTGATGGCTTTAACCTTGACTCCCGCTCTCCTTCACAAGGCTCTTCCTTGGAAAGCCAAGTCTGTTTTGAAGGAGGAAGTATCAAAGTGGAGTAAAGGTTTTCATTGATCTCCCAGATTCATTCCTTTGCTTTGACCCAACAATCTGGCTTGGTGTTCACCGCCAGGAACAATCAAATGCTTTTATCAGGCACCAGCCTTGTGTGTGGTGTTAGCACCGAGGCTGTTCAGAGGGGAGCTGCAGCCTCGGGAGGTGCGAGCTGACCGCTTGTGTTTGGTTTGCACAGCATTCAAACCCCGGCTGGGTGCTCATGGGGACAGCAGGAGTGTCAGAAGCCCGGGTTGTGCACGATGCAGATGAGTTAAGGCAGGACTCTGATCCAGCAGTGCCTTCCAGAGCTGAATGACACCGGTTACTCTTTCACGTTTGTGTTATCTGGTCACAGCAGTGATAAATAATGTGACATAACACTGCTTGTAACAGAAGAGCAAACAGGTTTTAACATGAGATGAAATCAATGGAGAGAGTATGCATGTTACCCTTGATTTCTGATAATAAGGTTAAAACACAAAACCAATCCTATAAATAATGCGGCTGAATGGGACGTTGCCAAATAGGTATTTACATCCTTAAGAAAGCAGAAGTTCTTTGCTGTGAGTGACATCTTGCAAGATTTCAACAGACATACAGCACTTTATAAAAGGGAATCTAATGGAATCTTGAGGTGTCTCACAGCACTGTAAATTTTCTGAGTCATTCAAAGATTGAAGTCAAACTTGCAATAGGAAATAAGGTCAAAACATGCAAATATGTTGTGACTGGTGTACTTCTTTAATTTTTTCTTTCAAAATACTTCTATTTTTCCAGCTCAAATATAAATAAATTATAACTAAATTATTTTAAAAGGCATGCTGAGGTAAAAATACTATTCCTGTTGAGTACACTTATAATTTTTAAATACAAAAGCCCACCTCAGTTCATCATCCAAACTTTTGAATACATTTTTGTCCTAACAGGAAGCATTAATGAGCTTCAGATAACATCTACAAAGCTTAAAGCCTTAGGAGAGATTTTCATGTTTCGTATATCCTTAATTAGATCCTTTAAGTGAGTCAGGCAAAGACAATAAAAAGCTAATTTCTTTGCAATGAGATGATCTACTGTAATGTTGATTAAACCATGTTGGGACATAGGCCAAGTTACCATACAAATACATGAAAAAAAAAAAAAGAAAAAATGTCAGCACATTTTAAGCATTATAGGTTCTTTCTTGCTATCCAAGACTACTTCTGAGACTTTTACTAATTTAGGAAGAGCTATTTGCTATTACCTAAAATAAGGTGAACCATAAACCCATCCCAGTTTGGGTGGATCAAGCCAGGCACATAGGTCAGCACCCTGGACTCCTAAGCAAAAATGATCTGATTTTTAAAGCACTGAGCCCTTAATAGAACTTACACTTCTTGAAGAGAAGGTGGTGTTTAGCTGGGTAAACTGCACTGGGTACATCCAAATGCAAAATGATGGGTCAATATCTAACCCCTGATCCTGCACGCCTTAGAGCAATCGCGCTTCTGAACTTATCGGGGTCAAATGTAGGATCTGATTTAGAATTCCAGTAATCATTTCCTTTTTTCCTACTGTTCTGTTCTCAGATATAAAAGTAAAATCTGCAGAATTAAGTCCATAGTCCCCTTATTTTGAAAAATGCTTGCAGAGCCCTGTTTCACTAATAACCTGCTGTAACTCAGCTAATTCTTGGAATACTTCTAAAAGGGGAGAACCTTAACAACCGTAACAAGGTAATAAGCATAATTACAGAGATTGGGGTTTTACCTATCTTGAGAGGCATCAATCATTATCAGCTTCAGTGGGGAATTTCTGACTAAGCTCAGTACATTGTGCAAGTGTAGATGAAATATACTTTGCATTTAAGCTCTGCTGAAGTCCACCACCGAAAATACTTTATCACATCAGGCCATAATGTGTGTATCTCTTCTTAATTTTTTGTTTATAGTACAAATTAGATTTGTTGGTTTTGTTGGGTTTTTTTTCCCCAAAAGCCAGAAAATCACTTTGTTTATTCCAAAGACCTAGGTTTAGATTTTCTCCTTACTGGTTTCTAAGTGAAGCCTCACAACACAGAAATACTAAAGAGGTCCTAAGCTAAAATTCCAGTCAGTTTAAAACATCTAACAGGAAGGTATGTCCTGCCTTCACATTTCCAGGTGCCTTTCTGTAGGATTTGCTTTTGCCATCACTTGTGCAGCACATGCTTTCAGGTGAAACACCAGGAGAGAGGTGAAGTGCCCTTCCACAGAGCCAGCCCCACGAGCAGCACGAGGATGCAGAGAAGTGCAGTGCCACAGGAGCTCTTTCAAAGCTGTCTCACCATCCTCATGAGATTAAACCTTTGATTTCTCCATGTTTGCTGGTTGGGTTTGCACAGTGACCACAGGGACTGCCCTGGGTCCTGAGGCAGCAGCTGCCCCTCCTGAGCCACGGGGGTGAGGCTTCTGCATGAGAGAGAGAACTTCAGAGGAGATGCACGGGTTGTTTGTCCACAAATGTACAACCTCAGTTATGTAAGAAGTCCTGTTTAATTCAGTAGATGTAGGCTCTGACAGGATGGAGCCTGATGGATACAGGAGCACACCCTGGGATTCACAGATAAGGCAGAAGAGCCAAGTCTAAATGCTAGACTGTACAGGTGAAAGAGAGTGTTTGTCTCCTAGGATAATGTGTGCAGTCCTGTGTGTGTGGTTTTCCATCTTCAACAGAACAGTAGCCGACCAGATGGAAGCAGAACATAAGCTGAGTTCAACCCCCAATCACTGCTCTCAAATTGCTGTCATTTTAACAACCAATTATAAAATGTTTTAAAGTTTTTACAGTATATTATAGACCTGATACCAGTCCTCCTGTTGACTTCTATGAAAGTACTATAAATGAGCAGGGGGCAAATTTCAGTCACAGAATGAGATTTGCACAGCATTTGGCTTCCTATGAAATTCAAAATAAATGCTTTCAAAACTGTTTGCCCTGATGCTGTATTTAGTCAGCCTTCCCCAGCACAAATGCTTGAACAGAAGAAGTGCTTTGCCAAATGTTGGCATGGGATTTTATATATGCCAGTGTTATGTTTTGAGATGGCTTAATTTAGACAAAGCAGAAATCTTGACCACACAGGGGTACCAGAATTCCTCTGGCACTTTTTTGCAGGAGCAGCCTTATTAGTCAAGATGCCTTGGCCAAGTTCCAGATCAGATAGTTGTCTCCCAAACTTTTAATTGCATAGGCAATCAGCTTCATGCCCTTAATTCTTGTGTTGTGATATTTAACATTGTGCCATTGGCATTTCCTATTTACATGAAATGATCCATATTAATCATTCCTGTTTCATTTCAGTTTGTCAAACACACACCTATATGCTCGTAGAGGGTCTACAAAAAAATAAGTATGTGTACATGAAAATTCTTGCAAGTTGGAACCTCAAGGGCTTCACATCTTTTAGTGGGCATGAAAAATATTGCTAAATATTTTATAAAAGGCATTTTTTGCACTGGTTTGTCAACATTTAAGACACAGCTAACTCACTGAGGAAAGGGAAGCAGAACAGTCTCAATATGAGCTGCAGAGGCAAAGCCCATTTTGGTTTACTTGGAAACCTATTAAAAATATTGCAACAGTGTTGGTGACACTGCTACCTAAAGTAAATAAACCCCAAGCTATTAAAAAGTTATGAATAAAAAAAAAAATCAGTAATGTGCATTTTTACATTAATAAAACAGCCCACAAAGAATATGCACAATGTAAAATTCCATTCAATACTAAGTTGAATCTCTGCTCAGCTGTTAATACCAACATAAACTTAATAACTTTAAGCTACAAAATTTTAAAAATCTGGGCACATGGCTGGAATCCTAACTGATCTCTAGTGGTGTCTATGAATCATAACTCCTATCCTACATAAAATTACATTATGATAAGCTGATAATATTTTATTATTACAACTCTTTTCTAAAAAAGTACTCACAACACTAGGATAGTCTTTATGGTGGTAGGTGTTCCAATTTGCCTTGATATTTTCCTGTATTTCAGTAGCAGCCCTACCAAGTTTTGAACAGCAGATTATGAACTGCTTGTAAATTGAAAAAAGGTAAAACTAATGAGCTCACTTTCATAGAATGAAGTTAATTCAAAGAAAGTAGATGATGAATTGCATTTGGCAAAGGCACAGACTGAAACTGTAAAAATTGTGAGCATTTGCAATGCCGGTAGAGGAAGCGTTGCTTGAAGCTGTTGAGCAGTTTTA